TTGGGTACGTTGGAAACATCGACAACGACCATTTTAGATCCCGACGTGTTAGCCAAACCAACAACGTCACCAACAGATTCAGGTGCTAGATCTGCTTCTTCATCTTTTGCGGGTGGAAAGACATTATATGTAGGGGTTGACGAAACACCATAGTCATTGGGATCATCTACTTCTACAAGTGTCTTGGGTCCTACGGATGAAGCTGGCATTGCATTTGGTACCGGAGCAGGGCGCTCATTTGGATCAAATGAACACGGAGTCAGTTCTTCATCATATTGTGGGACGTACTCTACCACCCTAGATGCGCAGATTTTAGCGTTCCTGGGAACTTTTAGCCTGCATCTATTGACGTTTTCGGGAGCTATTAGATATGGGACGCTCTCCCGTGGATCCCAGATGAACATGTAACCTTTATCTATGACTGCTTTCCCTATACTTTGTGCTGGAGGGCATTCCTCTAGAACATAGACCTCTTCACCATCAAGAATCTTACTGCCACTAAATGTCAGGGATCCTTTGCCGGATTGGCTGCCACCTCCGGTAGCGAAAGCTACGGGATTTGGAGAGTGCTGTACACTCTCCCGCATGGATGGTGTGAGGGCTTGGCGTCCAATGAGGTGTCGACCTGCTGCAGTGTCCCACAGCCAAGGGATGGCTGTGGAAGCTTCGAAAGGCATGGCAGTGATTACAGGTTTAATCGCGTCAGAGACAGCGATCTCTGGGACTATCACAGTTGCTACGCTAGCATGAACATTAGGAGGGGCTTTATTACCTTTCCTAAGTGATCTAGGAGGAGGTCCTCGATATTTATTGGTTTTAGAGTGGAGGAATGCGCACGATTCTGCCCTACATGCATTGTACGCGAAGAACATGCAAGGGGTGGTGGCCTTCTTGGCTGCCGATTTACGGGCTGCTCTCTTGGTCCTCTTCCCCTTAGGGTTCGTGCTATCCACATCAGTGGATGGAGGCTGCTCTAATCCTACGGGTCTAGCCTTTTGGGTAGGGGCTGCCTGCATATCCTCTTCGGTCTCACCTCCCCCTGAACCCTGACTTGTTGGAGATTCAGGAGTGTTCTCCGAGCCTGGGTCTGGGTTTGGTGCCGGGGCACCAGCGATGTCGTCATCGGGAGGTGGATTGGTACCGAAGTACCCTGCCGCTGGTGTTAGACCTAGCTGTTCATCAAAATCTCGGCGATTGCGTTCTTGCTGCTCCAGTTGGATGGCTAGTTCAACTTTAGACCATAACCACTCAGTTGTGCGACGATGGCTATCTAGTCGGGCTTCCCTAGCTTTAATGACCTTGGAGGACATTACATCATGGTGCTCAAGCTCGTCGATAAGATGGTTAAACAACGTTTGCGGTCGCGGCAAATCCTCTGCGGGAATTGTTGACATTACGTAGATATAGGTGTCTCTAAAGGTAACTAGATCGGCTACAGTGTTACCGGGGACCTTAAGGGACAGCAAATTCCTTTCGCCGAGCATGCCAAGGCGGCCACGCTCTAGCTGGAAATATTTAAATATTCTACGCAACATCGCGCGCCCGCAGGGCATAGCCCCACTAGCAGCGCGCTCAGATTCTAACATCTGATTGAAGAGGAGTCCAAACTTTCCGCCTTTGCAAGTTCCTAAGAGCTTGGATGCTACTTCGCGGTCAGTGCGAGGGTAGCGAGGGTCGGCTTGGAGCTCTTCCTCTGTTAAGGTTAGGCACTCCTGGGCCCACAAGTAAAGTTCATTACCAGGGGTCTTTTGAAGTTTGCCTATGGCCATTAACACCTGGTTCATGTAACCTCGAGATTCACCTGCATTAACAGGAGGGTGGGGAAAAACCAGGTTAGTCAGGGACGTTACCATAACGGTCTTGGCTTCCCGTCTCGCGAAATCTACAGGTGATAAGGAGGAACTGTCGGATGATGACCCTGAGCTCGAAGAGTCAACAGACCTACGTGAACTTTTGTGGAGATAATATGATGGCATTGAGTGTTGGGCACCTCGTCGGACAAGGTGCAATGGCAATGGTGGCACAACCGGAGGAGGCACCTGCTGCGGGAATAACTCACTTCCTGTGGCTCGACGAGTCGAATTACCACATGGTGTACCCGCATGGCTCGCATGACTAAGACCTATCCCTAGTGGCGTGCCAGAGGCAGCGCCCTGTGCAAATGATGCTGGGGGCGCACCGGCTGATGCTACTACTTGGTGTGCTTTTGCCAAAGCTGGGTTCGAATCACTTACAGCATGTGCACAAGGCACAACAGCATTAGATGCTGTAGGCAAGTTAGCTGAAAGACTGGGTCTTGTTGAAGCCACCTCCTGTAGCTGTGTGTTCGCCCTAGATTGTAATTGTTGTTGCATCTGTTGAAGCTGCTGCTGTTGCAATTGCAATGCCTCTGACAACCTTAACACCTCAGCTTGGAGTTGTTGAACCAAAACTGACTCTGATGTGTTCGAGCCACTTACAGCTGTTGCACTAGGCACCATAACATTTAGTGTTATGGGCAAGCTAGACACTGTGACTAACTCTGCGAGCTGGTGGTTCGCCACTACAGGGGCGGGTGAGATACCCGAGTGGTGTAAAGACTGGGGCAAGGATGCTACGGCATTTTGTGCGGCTACATTAGACGAGTGGTTCTCTCCTGGTTGCGCAGGAAAGCCACCACCAGGGACTTTGAGGTTAACCCTACCGGTCGCCTCTACGACAGTTGGGACAGCAACCATTTGCAAAGTGCCTGATGTATTTTGTAAATTAGGTTGGCTTTCTCCTGATTGTGCAGGAGGGCCAGTAATGGAATCCGGGGAGACTAGTGCAACACGGTGTCGCTGCTGGGTTGCGGCCAGCTGATGTTCATTGGGGAACATCCTAGAATCCTTTACGGTTATTCCAAAATCCCTACCAGAGACATTGGGGGCAACCCGACCAGTCGCTTCTACGACAGTTGGGACATCAACCACCTGCAAAGTGTCTGATATTTGAGGATTATCTGGGGACAACAATGGACTAGCTGGATTGGGATATTGAACGGCAGTGGATGGGACCGCACTCAGATCTTCAAACACATATTGCCTATCCAAAGTTTGGGATGGAGAATTAACGGAATCCGGGGGAACTAGTGCAACACGGTGTTGCTGCTGGGTTGCAGCCAGCTGATGCTCATTGAGAGCAATCCTAGAATCCCTTACGGTTATCCCGATCCCCATATCAGCTAATTGTTGATTACCCATATTTGAGGGACCACCAGAAACCGTGGGGATCTCCCGACCAGTCACATTGACATCGGTTGGGAATGCGACCACCTTCATTGGATCTGAGGCATGTTGTAGGCGAGTTGGGGACAACATGTTATTGGCAGCTAGATTGGGGTATTGGACAAAAGTGGATGGGACTTGATCAAGGTCTTCAAACACATTTTGATTATCCAGGATTTGATAGGAAGGGTTAATGGAATCCGGGGAAACTAGTGCAACACTATGTCGCTGCTGGGTTGCGGCCAGCTGATGTTCATTGGGGAACATCCTAGAATCCGTCTCGGTTATCCCAAACTCCCTAATAGCTGCATGTTGATTACCCAACATTGGCCTATTTTGAGGTGGTCTAACTGTAGTTTCAACCCTTTGGTCTACCTCCCCATGTGTCACCGGATGTTCAGATTGGACTTCTTGCTGTAACGATGGCCTATCCCCAAGATTACCTTGTTGGGCGAACTGAGATATACTAAACCCAGTTATCCCCACACCCCCATCCCCTTCATCCGGAGTTGCAATGGCTCTCTCCTGGTCGAGCAGGATGGCCGCAAGTGCTGCGTCGCGCTCGAAAGCAGCGACCTGAACGGGTTCAGCGCGCAAATGCACGGCAGCTTGTCCGGGTTGCTGGGTCATAGGATGTGATAGGAAGGCTACGGAACCAACATAGTCCCCTAAACTGGTGGCATGGTGCGTGTCGGAAACATCAGCACCCACATGGAGATTTTGTGGTATAGTGGGTCCTACAGAAATGCTGGGGTTTGGACTATTGCTTGGAAAAGGACCTAAGGGTAACCGATGCCTAAACAAACTATTGTTGTTATGGGACTCCTCCAGGCTAGTATCAGGCATTCCTTCTACATGCGTGGCATCCCCAATAGATTGAGCTTCAACCCTTCGTGGAGTTAAAACATTAGGTTCACCGGGAACAAGAGCTACGTTGAAGTAACTTTGGGAGGCTTCGGAGGGGTACCTAGATCGACTGGGCATACCAGGATCACGTTGGGGGATGTCTCCGGGCATCCTAACTCCAAGAAACACAACCTTTTACAGGATGTCGCAACTCAATTCAGATCCGACGCGTGCTTTGCACAGCGTCCCAAGCAACGGATTACAAACGACAGCGAAAGACCAGGCAGCAGATTTGGGAGATTCTGCCGCAGCACCCCCTTGCTTTCTCCACGGGTAAACAATGCCCTGTGGGAACCTTATGAGGGCTTGAGAAGACACAGTATTGAACCAACCAATCTATGATTTCACAAAGTTGGATAAAGGGTACAATAAAGTGAAAAAGATATTGGCAACCTTTGTGGAAAAGTATAAGCTATGGCTTCAACGGCGGTAATGACCCTGGCTCTGACCACAACTTAAAAATTCCGGATGCAAGCGGAATGTTGCAGGCGGCAACAAACCACGGAAAAAGGACAACGACGGACCAAAGGCACAGCACTGAATTAACCAACTACACTTTACAAAGCTGGATATAGAAAACAGTAAAGTGCCAAATTAATTAACAGCTTTTGTGGAAAATTATAAGCTGTGGCTTCGACAGCGGTAATGACCCTGACTCTGACCACGACTTAAAACTTTCCGGATGCAGGTGGAGTGCTGCAGGCGGCAACAAACCACAGAAAGACAAGGACAACCGGATGCAAGTAGCGTGCGATGCACAGCTACCCTGACCCTTGGAAACCTATGTCGATTGCGTAGGTTCACTGGACTTGTGCCAATGCCTACTATTGTTGGGGCGAAGCTCCAAAATCACCGCTGTTTGTCGCCAAAAGGCGGGCGAAGACGCTGTAGAATACTATCAACGCCTTCTTGCTTGACCCACTCTTCAACTAAGGTAAGGAAGGACAGGGCACGGTCGTGCCTGCCAGCAGCCCTAAAACAACGGGCACCAGAATGGGAGCACTCAGCGACTACGTCGGAACGGTCGTCGACCAAAGAATGCGCACCAAGTTGATGAAGCACGCTGCTTTTCCCTTGGGTTCCACAAGGACGCTTTGCTAGGTGCAATTGCTCAAAGGGAAGGCCTAGGGATTTTAGTTGATTTATTAAGTGGTTCGCGCCTTGGCGGGTGGACTCAACTTTGTTAAATCCAGCGTATGAAAGGATATGGAACTCGACCCTGTTATTTGCTGCTAAGATTACCTTATTGAATTTATCAATTAGGTGTTGATCAAAGGAGCCTTGGTGGTTTAACGCTTGGTCAAGCGTATCGTGCCAATCGAGACAAATTTTGATATTGCCAGGCACTGAATCTACAGGGGCGGAGTAGGGAGCGTGCGAACCCGAAGGTGCACTTGGAGCTCCGCTTGACTCTTCACCCCGCTGCGCCACAGGTGCGGCAGCAGCCCCTTCTGCCTGTCCAGCAGTTGCTTTTGGCTCTGTTGGATCTGTTCCCAAGAATGCCTTTCCACTAGAAGCCTGCTCCTTCAAGTACCCAGGTGGCGCCTTATAGGGAAGGTGGCCAGGAGGTGCTTTAAAAGGGAGTTTTGGCTTATCTTGTGGTGGTGGAGCCAGCCTAGCTTTTGGCGGGGGAGCTCCTGGTCGAACACCCGGTGGGGGAGCCTTATTTGTTTTGGCCTTTGCAACAGTGACCTGTGGCGTGCTGGGAGCAACAGCCTCCCTAGCAATCCGTTTGGTGGTTGCTGATGACAATGGCTGAGAACTTGCCGTCTTCGGTGGAGGGGGTCTCAATGGCTCCTTACCACTTTTATTGGGGGATCTACCTCTTAGGTTAACAGGTGATGAGCTATGCTGAACTGGTTCAGAGGGTATAGATGTTAAGTTTCTTGGGGATCTAGACCTATCAACGGCACCTGTCGCGCGGGATTCCGCAGCGACCCCACAGGCAGCAGACTTTGGGGATTCTGCCGCAGCGCCCTCTTGTTTTCTCCACGGATGCACAATGCCCTGTGGGAACTTTGGTGAGGACTCTGAGGTGTCTTTTGGCGACGATGCTGCTGATTTTGGGTCTTTATAATCCCTAGAGGTTATTTTGATGGTTACCTTTTGCCTCTTTGGGGGTGGCACTTTAGGTGGTCGCGATCCAAAAGTTACTGGGTCGGCTTCAATGGGCTCAGCACTAGCCGCTGCAATGAAATTCCTACCAGTCTCTTGAAATCTTTGTGATGCCAGTGCAGGGTCTTCTGTGCCTTCCTCCTCGGTGTCAGGATCACGTGTGGTCAAATTTACAATGTCCGAAGACTGCAAGTTTGGGGTGACCAACACGACCCGACGAGAGCTCAAGGATGGATTCTGCCAGGCGGCGTCCTCCAGCTCGTAAGGATCAATGCCCTCAACTTCTTGAGTCTCAGTTCCAGGAACTACCACAGGATGAGCAACTGGACGCTCTGCAACTGTCGCGACCGAAGGTCCGGCGACCCGCACCCAAGTTCCTGCTGAATCTAGGCGTGTGTCAGGATAACCAGCAGCACGGAGTTCTCGAGCAAGCTCAATCTGCTCCCTGGCTTCTCTAGACAAAAGATTAACAGGCAAAGGTGGGATGGACCTATTTCTTTTGGTGTGCCTCTCCCTTGGAGACGCAGTTTTGGCAACAGGTGCTGGCTCCTCCTCACTTTCAACCTCAAAACTTTCCTCCTCTTCCTCCTGATTCCCCCCCACTGTCTCGCGCGCCTTGGCAAAAGCCGGAGCTCGCGCAGCGAGCTCTTCCGGTGTTGGCGGCGGATGCTGTGGCGGTGGTGGAATATTAGAAGGGACTACAGGTGGTGGTGATGATGGGGGTGATGGGAGCTTAGCTTTAGACAAAGGGTTTACAACAGCTGGACTACTGGGAATCTTAGGGACTACTTGAGTTATTTGGGTAGTATCTAAAACCTTTTGCGCAGTGGCTGATGTGTCGTGTTCTTTGGAAACAACGACTCCTTTGAGATTATTAGATTCTGGCAAGGGATTTACAACAGGATCAGCTTTTGGAGCTTCAGGCACGGCTGCATTTGATGGAGCACTACCGCCGGATGCTTTGGCTGCAATCACTGTTGTGCCGCGTTCTTTGGGAACAGCGACCCCTTGCTGATGTTTTGGCGGCTGCAAAGGCTTCGCAACAGGTTCAACCTTAGGAACTTTCGGAGTGGCTACACCTAATGGAGCACTACTGGAACCTTCGGATGCGATGGCTGTTGCGTCGCGTCCTCTGGGAACAGCGACCCCTTGCGGCTGCTTTGGTGGTGGTGGCGAGGGCTTTGACACAACAGGTTTATCTTTGGGGACTTTTGGGGCTGCTACAGTTGTTGGAGCACTACCAGAACCCTCAGATGAAACTACTGCTGCGTCGCGCTCTTTGGGAGCAACGACCCCTCGCGATTGCTTTGGCAACGGGCGGACGGATGATGAAGTGTGGACACTGCTAAACTCGGCTTGCTGTACAACTTGATCCGCAGCACGCAAAGTTGGTTGCCAGCCAGAGGCTGGTGCCTTCGGCTGCTGTGCCTTTGGCGATGCAGCTTTTGGCGGCTCTTTGGGCTCTGGCGGTCGTGTAGCTGCCGCGCCACCAGCCGAAGCCGGGGCAGCGGCCCGAGCTTTGGGCTTCGCAGGGGCGTTTGGGCCTACGTACCTATTATAGTAATCCCAGCTTTCTTGAGGAGGGAATTCACTACCCAAAATGTTCAAGTTAATGATACGCTTTGGGGGTAGTACGCCCTTTTCAACTGCGTTACGGCCGTGTCCAATACCACGTCTCCTGTCCAGGCCGTTTGCAAGGGCCCAATTTTCGTGCTCAGGCCACAAGTTAAATGTAAGGACTAAACACTGGGTTACGGTCAGATAATCTGCTATGGCTTGATGATTAGCGACTTGCCACTTTTGGTCAGTGTCAACACCGTCTAAAAGATATCGGCCTAGCCAGAAACCACGACCTGACCTCCCACCTGTATTTTGATACAACCAATCCCTAAAAGTATCTAGGTCACTAAACCAAGCCCGGATGGCTTCCTGGTTTCGTGTGGTCTGCCCACCGCGTGAACTCCTCTGTCGAGTGCGTTGTCTTGGACCTGCAGATGGAGCGGAGGGAGAGTGACCAGTACGGATGGGCTCAACACCAGGCTCAACTAAGTTGGGACTAGTGGGTGGTGCAACAAAAACAGATGTGTCTAGTTGTGTATTGGATGTCGCGACAACGGAAGTGTCAGCGACCCCAGGTTCAGTGGATTCAGCTTTTGGATTAGAAACTTCAGGGGCTCCTAAGGGGGCTGAGTCTACACTTACACCTGGGTTACCTGTCGTGACAACGGTTGTGTCAACGACCTCAGGCTTAGCGGATGCACAGGCTGGTTCGGATGCTTCTTGGGATCCTACTGCAACTGGCTCTACACTATGGCCTGAGCTTTGGGTCTCAGGTTGGACGGATGCTGCAATGTCAGAAGCGTCAGCTTCAGGACTCTTGGGGTCAACTTCAGCTTTGACAACGGCTGCAACAATTGCGTCTTCACCTAAGTTGGTTGTTGTAGTACCTTCAGTTTGATGGGCAGCTTCAATGACGGCTTCAGTAGAGGCTGGACCAAGTGTCTGTTGATCTTCTTCCTTTTTGACAAGCTCCAGACTGTTATTGGCGCCTTCCAATCCAGAAACTTCGGAAAAAGTTATTTCACCAGAAACCTTGTCCGTCGCGGTATTGTCACCAGTGACCTCCACCGAAAAATTGTCAGCTGCTTCAATTTGCGCTTGTTCTGACAGGATCGACGGAAATGCAAAACTGTTCTGACCTTCTTCCCCCACTGGACCTGAGTCTGTAAAGGCAGCCGCTGCAAGAACTTCTTCGGGGATGTTCAATGCTGTGGCAGGGTCTGAAACGTGGCTCGCAAAATCCGTCGCGACGTTTTCGTCGGCGACCCCGTCAGGCAAGAAAAATGTTGAAGGCACAGCACCCGAGCTTGATGTCTCCTGATGTAGCTCTTCCTTCACGTCTGTCAGATGTCCTTGGGCTCGATCTGCAGAAGTGGGCGCCTCACCAAAAGACAGCACGGGCGACAGAATATCCTCAGATAGATCCGCCCAGTTTCGGGAGGCCGCGGCGCCCGGTTCAGCAGTTGGTGGATTAAACTTCTCAACACCTTCTGCTTCCCCTAGAGCGTTGGCTCCTTCCACTGGAGTTTCCGGTGTCGCACTGTAATCAGCAGCGACCCTTTCGGAGCTATCTGAGGGCATGCACGGTCAATGACGGAAGTGCGGGAAAAATAAAGGGGCCTAAACCAGAAGTTATCGAAGGATTAGACTTCCCCAAAAGCACCTACGGCTGATAACCAGTGAAAACAGGGGACCGAACAAGGGAACCAACCACGGTATCCTTCGATAACCCCATTAAACAAACCAAGCACCCGACCTTTTTGGGCACTTGAGCCATAACATCCATAGCGTACTAAGTGAACCCTGACCCAGGTGGTTGTTAGGGTGAGGGAAGTACCTATGTCTAATTACGGCTACTCTACTTACCTAGCGCTTCTAGGTAAGTAGTGATATACTGTACATTGAGTATAATGAATTGGATTGAATTGGAACTCATAGCTACGCTATTTACACTACGCTATACCTACCTGCTATGCTACATGTAGTGGGGGCTCAGGGGTCGATATATTTCAACTTTATATTATTATATATATATGATTATATATATATGATATATGATTATATATGATTATATATGATTATATATGATTATATATGATTATATATGATTATATATGACTATATATGATTATATATGATTATATATGATTATATATGAATATACATGATTATATATGATTTTATATGCACATATAATGTAGGTACATGGCGTTGCGTTGGTTTTGCATACAATTACACTACACTACATTGCCTTGCATTACATTGTACTGCATTGCATAACATTACACTGCACTATATTACACTACATTACATTACAATACATTACATTGCATTACATACATATATTAATGTAATGTAATGTAATGTAATGTAATGTAATGTAATGTAATGTAATGTATGTATCTGTCTGTCTGTCTATCTATCTATATAGTTGTATATATGGTGTTTATATATATATGATATATACATATATACACATATATACACATATATACACATATATACACATATATACATATATATATATACATATATACATATATACATATATACATATATAGTATACATATATACATATATAGTATACATATATACATATATACATATATACATTTATACATTTATACATACATGATAATATACATATACACATATATGTTTACATGTACTGCCTATATACATATCCCCATAATATCCCAATATCTACAGGATCCTATCCTGGTACCCCAACCGTGCCCCGTAGCGCAACCTCATCAGCCCACTCTCACTGATGCTCAGCAAGTACCGATGCGTTTCACCTCACAGAAGGTTCGTTTCGGGTCAGCCGTAGAGATGTGAAGATCTTTGGGCAAATCCCCATCAAAAATAAAGGTTAAAATGGGAAAATCATGGGAAAATATGGGGAACCCCCTGTAAATCGAGGTTTTAATGAGAAAATTCATGAGATGGGATAGACCCTGGGGGGAAACGCCAAAACATAGATGTCGAAAACCCATCGTTTCCCGACGAAAATGATGTACATTCATGGTGTTATCACATGATATAACCATCCAAAAAATTCAACTTAAATAGTGGGGATATACCCTCTGGTTATGACTAACGTAGCCGGCTGGAAAATCGCGAAAAAATAAATGGAGGTTTCGTTCGCTGGGAAAATCATCCATTTCTATGGGCCATATTTTCCATGGCTATGTTAAATTTCCAGAGGGTAATGGGAATGTGTGGTGGATATGTTCTTGGATATCATTAGGGATGTTGGGATATGAAACATGTGATATATATATATATATCACCAGAAGTGACTCAGATTGATATATTTTGGATCTAAAATGAACCATAGCGATACGATGAGGATATTGATAGGGGATAAGTTGAAGTTCCCCTCTAGCCATCAGGACCGGGCCCCTGGCCCTAGCCATGGGCCCCGAACTGGGCATCTCAATGGGACCATTCCCGAAGGATTGGATTTCAGAAGGCAGAAAAATGTGGATGCTTCGACCGTTACTGAAAAAACATCTTAGAAAACTATAGTTTTAAGTGTCATAGTTGCCATAGTTGCCATAGTTGCCATAGTAACTATGGATGGTTTAGCTTTAGAACAAAAAAGTGTTCATAGGGTTTATACACCAACAAACACAACGGACGGGGGGGGCACATTGCACAGGAACCTCATGGTCTCAAGGCGCTAAGAAAGGGACAGAGTTCACCCATGTTCACCCTATCCCCAGATCATTCCCCAATCATCTTGGAAACTGGTGCCCCCAGTTATGCTTGTTGGCTTTAGTTTCACCCCATGAATGAACCAAGTTCGTTATATCCCTCAGGAACCCAAACATGAACCAAGTTGTGTGCGTTGTTCACGTAGGTTTCATTGGAATTGGGGGTCCCCTATTTTCAGACAAACCCCAAATTTTCACACAAACCCCAATTCTGGGTAAATTATAATATTTCACTAACCTGAATTAAGGCCATTTGGGGATGATTTCCAGTGAGGTCGTTACAATTTACCCAGAATCATATTGGATACCCCATGGCTTATAACCCTACGGATTTGTGCTTTATGTGTTTTTTAACTCCATAAACTAGAGTAATAAGTACCATAAACCAGAGCTATTGGAGTTACACCCCCCCTAAATAGTTTTTGGAGCTATAAACCGGAGTCATTGGAGTTTAGACCCCAACACCGGAGTTGTTGGAGTTGTTCCCATGAAATACTCATTAAAATCACCATTGAAACCCCATTAAATCCCATTAAATGGATAGATTTTAGAGTTAAACCATAATTATTGAAGTTATAAACCATAGTTACTGAAGTTATTTCCCCGTTGCCCAAACGTTCCGCCCTTCAAAAAACCCCTCCGATCATCCCACGCCTAGAGCCAAACAGCCTGGCATCGTGAGCCTCGACGTGAATTGGATGTTCATGGGATTTCAAACTGGATTTCATGGGATTCTAGTCGGATGTTACTTGGATTAGAAAAGGGAATTTTATGGGATATTATGTAATGGGATCTTAATTGGATGTTAATGGGATCTAGAAGGGGATTTTATGGGATGTGAATGGGATTAAAAACCGGTTTTTATGGCATGTTAATGGGATATTCACGGAATTTCAAAGGGAATTGTGTAGGATTTAATTGGATGTTTATGGGTTTTTTTGATTCAGTTGTGAGATTTTATGGGAGTTTTTAATGACATGTTTTTCATGGGCCACTGGGATTTTATTTCGGACTCGACATGATCTCTAGACGTGGAATCATAAACTGGGATGTTACGGAGCTGTTGGCGGAAGCAAACATCGATCCAGCCGCGTTGCGAAATGTGTTCGATCCGAAATCTTTGGGGGCCAAATGTGTTGTTTGTCAAAGTGCCCGGTTTGCCATGGATAAAACATGCAGTTGAGGCCCGAAAATATATACCAGTTATAAATGATGATCAACATGGTTGTAAATGGGGTAAAATCATTCCCTAAATGGCTTTTTGATGTTCTTGTTACCATTGCTCCTGAACTCTCCAGAATTCTTGCCACATATGTGTTCCTCATGTGTGCTATTCCAATCCAACGTTCATGTGTTGGTTTAATAGCAATGATGACAATAACAATAATACCAAGAACAACAATAGTAATAGTAGTAGTACTAGTAGTAGTACTAGTAGTAGTACTAGTAGTAGTAGTAGTAGTAGTAATGGCAATAGTGACAGCAAGAGCAATACTAATAATAGCAATAATAATAGTAATGATGATAATAATGATAATAACTATCATAGTGATGATAACAATACTTCTTGCAATACAAACATATCACTTTTAGATCTTTCAGCCGCACCACCCCCCTTCCCCCACCCCCCTTCCCATCGCCACTCCTCTTCTTTGAGGGCCCACGGAACACCTCCACAATGAGCGACCTGATTCGTTGAGCTTTTCGGGACATGTTTTTAGCAACTGGTAGATAACTATCGTGGCTATGGTGACTGGATAAGTGTATCTATAGTTTTCAGATCTTTTCGGGACATGTTCTTGCGATATGTGCCATCCAAAAAAAAATGGAATATTTGACCTGATTACATCACAGTTCTTTTGGGTTGGATACTGAATCCCATATTGAAGGGACATGCCCCTCAATCAACCTTGGAAACGGCCAAAACCTGGGGACCAGCCAGCTGCTTATTCATCAACTGTGGTGAATGTCTTCATATGTACCACGGCAACGGGGCAATGGTTTATTATGAGAACAGTTGGAACATGCTGAGCATTTTCCAACAAAAACAGGGATTTCATGGGATTTATGATTGATAGGTGATTTGTGATAGCTAAGTTGGTGGACATAACTCCAGTAACTATGGGTTATGATACTTACAGTATATAGAACTATACTATTCATGGGGTTTGTAAACCAACAAACATCGCTGGGGGGGGACATTGCACCACTTGTCCTCAGGGATGAAGATGGCGCTGCTTTGAGAATCCCAGGGTCCCTCATCAGGTGAACCACATCAAAAGCTACGTGAGTTTCACCCTTTGAGGCCACATCTCTGATTCCACACAGCCAATATCAGCCCACCATGGGTGAAAACGAAAAATCCACTGAGCCATCTATATCATCAAACATACCCTCCGCTGATCTAACGTGGCAATAGAAAATCCACACTTGAGTTCGATGATTTTCCAGCTATAAACCTCCTTTTTCTTCGGGCATTTCCCATTGCATCTCTGATTACCGGAGGCTATATCTCATTATATTCGCATGGTTTCCCCATTAAATCACCATGATACCCCACAAAAATGGTTGAATTCATATAGATGATCCCAATTATCCTACGAAACTGGCAGTCGTATCACTATGAAATATCCCATGATAATCCCATTAAAGCCTATGTTTTTTTTTTACATGATATTCAACTACACTATTTTCCCAGTCTTTTTCCCAGTCTTTTTCCCATGAAACCCCACGAAATGCCCGGCGTACCTTCCAGTCTCCAGGTTCGCGATGATGATGTTATCAGCCTGGTAAGCTTTCGACAAAGGGAATTGCAGAACACTGGAATCGACCATGAAATCGCCATGAAATCCAACCGTTAAATCTTCATGATATCCACAGTACCCTCTGGTAAACTAACATAGCTATTGAAAATGACAATTTATAGTTGATTTTCCCATTAAACATGGTGATTTTCCATAGCTATGTGAGTTTACCAGAGGGTAATGTTAGTAAAGCAATGTCACCAACCGTTGGTCACCAACCCGTAAAAAATCATGGTGTATAGCTAGTCTCACCCATAAAAATGGTCAATTTGGGGTGGTTGATGACATTGCGTTACTCAACCAGCCGCTGGCCGTGTGCCTTTGCGATCATCTCGTCTTGCAAAGTGTGTGTTTCGCCGCGTGGAATGGCGGAATTGTTCTCTTTTAACTTTTGACTTATTGGTTTTGGGACGTTTTCAGCCGCATTCGTTGTAGCAACACCTTTTTTCGTCAGGGCGATTTCATTTGCTTTGCAAATCTCATTTCTAGAGATAAAGTGAGTGTGGAAGTGCAACTCAGTCGGTACAATAGCATTTAAAGACAAATTTTGTGTAGAAATGGTCATGGGAACAGGAAACGAACGTTACTAGCTCACCCGCAAGCTCCCCCAACCCCGCACTCACGCCACCCGCCCCTCCCCGGACCGGACTTACAGATGATTTCACAACAAGCAGGTGCAAATCCCGGAGTGTAATTGGTACCCCCTGGCTACCCTGGCAATGGAGAACCAACCTGCTTCATAGCAGAAGAAGTTGAAATGGGGTGGATTTTCCAGTGCGGGTTTAGATTACCAAAGGCAATCCCATCCCCCAATATCTCTTGGAATGGCCCAAAAAACGAGCAGTAGATCCAACATGAAACGGGGTTTCCTTCCGGGGCTATTCAATATCTTGGCTTGCAGTTCTGAAAGTGCTTATATAATCATTTTTTACAGGGGCCTCATATCTCAACTTATGGCGTTGTACAGTTATACTCATAAAAATCACCCCAACCGCACAAGGGATTACTTATGCCTGTTCTGAGAAAATCTGAGCTCCATACCAAAGGTCCGTCTCCAAAATCGATGATCCGGCTCCTGAAAATCAGCACAATGATCAGTGGACATGTGTCTGACATAGGGCCCCCAATGGTTGAGTCATATAGGTGGGATCACCATGCATGTGAACATAAAAGTGTTTGTGTGTGTGTGTGGGTAGCATGTATATATGCACCAGGCCCTGCCACCCCCCCCTCCCCCCACCCCCCATGGGATGGGTCCCATATACTGGCCCCATATGAGATCTTCCCCCTCCCCCCCTGTGGTGTGGTGGCGGTGTGGCGCTGTCCCCCTCCCCCCCCTGTGGTGTGGTGGGGGTGTGGTATGGTATGTTGGGTATGTATGGTGTGTATGGTCGGTCTGGTATGGCATGTTTGGAAAGTATGGTATGTTTGGTAGGTATGGTATGTATGGCATGAGTGGTTGGTATTGTATGGATGGTAGGTATGGTATGTAAGTCTGTTGGGTATGGTATGTTTGATATGACAGTATGTATGGTCTGTATGGTATGTATGATTACTATGATGGTATGGCATATTTCCTATGTAAGGTATGTATGGTATGTATGGCATGTATGTTTGCTATTGTATGTATCGTAGGTGTGGTAATTACATTTCATATGTATGGTATGTATGGTGTGTATGATAGATATGATAGGTATGATAGGTATGATAGGTATGGTATGCATGGCATCATTGATTGATTGTTCGGTACGGTATATGTTAAACACAGGTGGTGTTGTGAGAGTACACAGGTAGTAAATAGGAAGTAGATACAGTAGATACATAGCACATGTATATATGACTATAGGTAGCACGTAGGTACTTTCAAGGAGTATATGTGCTACGTAGGTCGCCTAAAAGGTAGCATGTAGCTAGTAAATGCGAGGCTGGTAGTCAGAAATACTGCAAAGACCTAGCAAATACGAAGCTGGACCTCAGAAATGCTGCCAATAGCTTGCAAATAGAAGGGAAGGGGGGCTGCTACCTGGGGACCCAACCCATGGGGGGGGGGGGGGGGGGAGGGGGGGGTGGAGAGACGGAGGACGGGACCATATATACACACAGTACATATGCATGCATGCATGCATGCATGGATGGATCTATGTATCTATGTATCTATGTATCTATGTACGTACGTAGGTACGTACGTAGGTAGGTTAGGTAGGTAGGTAGGTAGGTAGGTAGGTAGGTAGGTAGGTAGGTAGGTAGGCATGCATGCATGCATGCATGGATGTATGTATGTATGTATGTATGCATGCATGTATGTATGCATGTATGTATGTATGTATGTGTGCACTTCGTATACACATGTCATGTACACTGGGATTCTACACTTGTTTTAGATTCATGTATTGCTTGATGGTATGTTTATCATTCCATTGTCGTATCCCTCATAAGCCTGCCAAAACCTGCGATCCATTTTCTGCTTCCGATCCGTTCCAACGACATGTCGACTCACCATGTTTCACTGAAAATATGAGGTAAATCAGTTCTACACTCTCCCTCAAACCCTTGATATGTGGTCATATTTACTCTCAGTTGCCTCATCATGTTTTCCTAGGAAAAAAAACTATAAAAATCATGTAAACATGGTGTAATGTGTTAGTAAAGCAATGTCATAGACCAGCCATGTGGATTTCAAGGATTTTCAAGGACCCACAAAAAATGGTAGACTTGGGGCTAGTTCCATGGTTTGAGCCCGTCGTAACGGTTGAGTTCCCTTTTGCTGGTTCAACTGCCCCAGTTGTAGAACGGACACACCGAAATATCATAGAGTTGGTCATGTATCCCATTGATATCCATATGATTGTCCAATGATATCCCTATGATATCCCTAGAAAATGGAGCTAGAGGCTGCCTCCATTATCCCTATTTCTGGTTCTCCCAGAAATCACCAGGACCCTTTTATCCCTTGGTTGATTGCTGGGTGAACAGCCTCGTGTTGGAATGGGTGAACAGACTGCTACGCTGATGGTTGAATGTATACCTCAACTAATCATTTCGCTGGATATTATATATATATATATCACAATGAAAACATTAAGATGGATACCATTGATATATATATATACATATCATAGATGGATTAAGAAATGTCATATATATATATATATCATAGGTCATAGGTATATCATCCCATCATAATCTCACCTATTTCTCCATGACATACCTATGATACCTACGCTTTGCGCGCCGGGAAACCGGCGACCTCAGGGCGAAAGCATCCCATCGGGCGATGAAGGAAATGCTCATCGCCTGCCCGGAAGACGGGGTACAATAAATGCGTGAATAAACAAACAAATCAAGTAATAAGTCTTATATATTAGTATATATATATATATGTGTGTGTATATATGTGTGTATGTCTATATATATATATATATATGTGTATACATATTGTATACACACTTGTAGTGAGAAGGAGGGAGAGAGAGAGAGAGAGAGAGATGGTATCATGATACGTAGTTGAATGTATAGGTTGTCTATACCTTCTATACCTTTTACACCTTCTATCCAAGCAATTCCAACCATCCACGGTGACTTTGTTTGACTTTGAGGTCCAATCCAGCACCAAGGGGATAACCAACAATTTCAGGCAATGGGATTTCAACAAAACTCAAAGAAACCGAGAAGAATGGCTTGTTGAAGCGATTTTTGGGGTCGCAAAATCCTGGAGGATCGAGTTTTGATGGATCAACACCTGGTCACCTGGTTCATATAGTGAGGGGCGGGGTGCCTAAAACAGGCAAACTGTGTTGCACATCCAATGAAAACACAATAACCCCCCATGTAAAGAAACCACAGGTTGATTTTGCACTGTAATCCAAGGTTGATATTCAGGTTTGTGCTGGTAGAAGGACTGCCGCCCGTCTCTTGCCAAGTGATGTATAGCTGTCATTGAAGCAAAACTGGCACTCTTCTCGATTACCCTCTGGTAATCAAACATCATGTCTATGCTGCTATGCTCATTTAGTTCGGGGATTTCCTAGACTGCCACTCATCTTGTCACCTCAGTTTTCTCATAGTTTATCACTTGGATGTGCATTGTTTCCCATATCCAACACATTTTGCCATGGCCGGATGACTGTACCTTTTGCCATAGATTTTGTAGCCACCGAATCTCCACAACAAATATCGCCATCTCGAGACGGATCGCCGTCAAACTAAGTGCGGGACACCACCAAGTTGCTCTTCGAAGTAGTAAGGCTTCTCCTACGGAGAGTCGTGAGGGATTTACCCTCTGGTAATTTAACAGTTGCCAGTTCGCGAACTGGAAAATCACCATGCGTTTTTTATAGGTAAATCAACTGTAAATGGCAATGTTCCATAGCTATGTTAAATTACCAGATGGTAAATATCCTACACTTTTCATGTACCCAAAGAGCGGCATGTTTACATCAAAATACCGGAAGAGACTCCAAGACATCTACATGTACGTAAAACGTACCATAAATTACCGGTATACCCCAGTTGCAGACACTCTCAAAGATCATGGCTGCATTTGCACCCCAACTATCCCTATGGAATTGGTGGTTATGATCCCCTTTAATCAACATTGTGGTTGATGATCCCACTAAAAGAAACGGCACAAAATCGCAGTATAAATCCTATCGTATACTATGTATGTTTAGATATAGATATGTATATATATATGTCGCTATATACATGGTAACCCCAAAAAAGATAGAAAAGTAATTCATTCAGTACTTTAGTGGGATTCCACCTTTTTTTTCTATTTTGGAGTTGCCACAAGCCATGGGAGCCGCCGCACCCGCAGGTTCACGATGCGATCGCCGTCGAAGTCTAACCCGTCGAAGACGAAGAGGGGGGTCACCTGGGTCTCCTGCGATGCTCCACTCCAGGTGAGGTCCCAAAGGTTCGGAAGTTCTGGCTTTATGACGCTAAAAAAAAATGATAACTATGTGTATATCATATATATATATATCATCTAAAATCAACCATAACTGGGAATTGAATGGGAATATTCAAGTAGGAATATAGCAACCAAAATAGAGATTTCGTGTGGGATTTCATGGTCAAAATCATTGGGATATAGTGGGATCATCATGGGATATTTCGTGATAGGACCACCAGTTTCATAGGATAATTGGGATTCAAAATCAACCACAACTGGTATATTTTTTTGGTGATGTAGTGAAATCATGGGGATATCATTGTGATATATGGAGGTTTCCTAAGTCATATAGCTACCCCTAGTTCTCATCCATTTATAGATTGGATTTTCCATGATTTATTAACCATCCAGCCAGCGATAAAGGGGATCCCCCATGACTATGGAAACCCCCATATCGGTGATCCACTGTGGGACACTGGAAAATCAGCCCTAGCCATCGAACTATGGCTCGTGGATTTTCCGTTGCCACATTTGATGACACCGACACCACACCAGAGGGTATCCATGAAGAAGCGGCATAACAAATCATAAAAAACACCAAAATCATAGGGAGACTTGGGATATCAAACGAATTGAACAAGTTCATGGGCAAAAAAAAGTGAGATATAGTGAGATATAGTGAGATATGATGAACGAGGTGATGGCTGCGTCTGAAAACTTGAGATTTACCACCCAGATAGCAATCCTAAAAGGGAAAATGATGGAAAATTCATGGGATTTGAAGGGATAGCCTACGACTTAAAACCATCAAGAAACCAACATTTTTTTGCGCATGCCTTGGGGAATTGAAGTATCAAACATCTGGATACATGTGGTAAGCACGTTGAAAACTATGCCAAGGTCTCACCATTTGGGTCAATCCTTTTCACCAAGAAATGGGGGGTTTACCCCGCTGGAAAATCCAATCTATAAATGGATGATGCCAGGGGTACCCCTATAGGAAACCACCGGGAATCGCACTGATGAACATATCAACCAACACAGGGGATGCGGCGAGGGTCCAGTGTTTCTCTGAGACCCTGGATTGGAAAGAAACCCTGGTTGATGAATGGTGGTGTCCCTCGAAATCATCTGCGTCAATGGCCTGTACACCCAAATAGCTACTTTCATCGGAATATGACTATCAACCACTTCTCCAGCCGCATCGTTGCGTGGATGATTTGTTCCACCATAGCAACGGGAACTCCCTTCTAAATGGAGGATTGATTGGAAAAAAAGAGATGAAATGCGTGGGAATTTGTTCGTTATAAATGGAGGCTTTTTCATGGTGAAATCAGCTATTTTCATGGGGGATCTTCCATTGCGTTTGATTACCGGAGGGTGTCTGCGTTGGGTGATTGTTGGATAATTTGGGACAAGTATGCTTACCAGATATGTTCCACACCTTCCCTGATCTTGAACTTGGATGACTGACAACTGGGGTTGAAGTAAAATCTGGGTAAGCTGGGATTCTAGAATTGGCAATTTGAGCGGTTTGCCTTTTTGCATATTATGTTCGGATCATCTATCAAGCCGCAACATGCCATTCAACAGAAACTATGATAGCTTCATTGATCGTGTTACGTTTCTATGGTATTCATTTGGGGAGCCATGAATCATTCTGCTGCCACGTTGTCCTTACCTTTGGTTTGATCATGACTTTCCCTATTTTTCAGTTGCCATTCAGTTCATTAGATGTACATCTTCCATTTCCGGATCAACCTGATATCATATAGTTGGTTGTCATATATACGTATACATAATCCCATGGAATGTCCCCATGAGTATTTTTGGACAAAGCCATTTGTTGCGTGCACTACATTGTACCCAATTATATATATATGTATATATATATATATATATGTAATTATATATCTACATATATATATATATATAATCCCATTAAAACCCCATTAGATCCCCATTTGTTGCTTGTTTCATCTTTCGGGTTTTCGGACAAACCCAAATCTTCCCTCGTTGATTTGCCCCATCCCCTGATCATAATAAATACCCATAAGTATCCCCAGATCATGAATAGATTCAACACATTTCAACAGGTTTTCGTCGTGGCATTCTATTTTTTACCCACTCATGGCTTTCACCCGATGATTGATGCTTATGACATGTTATGACCATTCGGGGGCACGGTTGATACCCTCTGGTAATTTAACATAGCTATTGAAAATGGCACATGTATAGTTGATTTCCCTATTAAAGAATATTAAAGATGGTGATGTTCTATAGCTATGTTAGTTTACCAGAGGGTACTGTAAACCATTTTAATGAGGAATTCTGGATGAAAATATTGAAAAAAAAAACTAAGATTTCTCAGGCCTCTGCCTCCTCAGGACTCTTAGGATTCTCAGGACTCTTAGGACTCTTGGCTGCACCTCAGGGTCTGCGATAAAAAAATCGCTCAAAACTCCCATTTTGGTCACAGAAAACCATATAAAGCCATATAATCCATATATATATATACATATATAATCACCGGTATGTATATATGTTTTGTCATTGCTTTCCGTACTTTAGGTGGCTGAATGATTTTTTCTGCACGGCCGTCCTAGTGCCGGACCTTCTCGGCGAGAATGGTGGACTTTGCGAACGGTGTGATGGTGAAATCCCCATTTCGAATGGCTAAGAAAAAGAAATTCCCCTACAAAGTGGTGCCCCAGTTCGTTAGCTAAGTTGGTTAATAAGTCCAATAACTATGGTTTATGGTAGATATAACGAACTAGTATTCGTGGGGTTTATAAACCAACAAGCATCACTGGGGGGCACCACATTGTAGCAGTAAATGAGCAGTTTTTACTGACCTAGCATGAAAAGCCACTCGAATGGAAAAACTTCATACAGAATTCTGATGCTGCAATCCCTGTTTCTACTAGTTAATAATCATGTTTGTTTGAGAATAAACCCGATTCTGCTGCGTAAACCATCACATTCAGCACCATTCACCAGCTCGAATTCCCTGGCTTTGTCTGAAAAAAAAGGGGTACCGGACCTCCGAATCCACTCATCCCTGGTCAAATTGCCATCTTTGGGGGTCCACATTTTCAGTGGATAATCCACCAGCCGACCTCCCAGCTTTTTGATCCCCTCTGGCCCAGCGGAGCTCTGTCCAACCCTCAGATGACTCGTGTTTTATGGGAATCAGGCTGGGAGGTTTCCGAAAATAAGGCTACCCCCTGGCATCATCCATTTATAGATTGGATTTTCCATGAAATAAACCATCCAGCTATTGGGGGTACCCCCATTTTGAGAAAAAAAACAGTTTAGTATGTTGAAACCCATGGTGACGACTGGGGATCCTCCATTTTGAGAAAGCCCAGCCTGTGATAATGGCGAGAATCCATTGGCATTGCGGATACCCAACTATCAGACAAACCCAAATGGGTTCTGTATGGAACATACATCATGGCCAATCTTGGCCTCCAAAAAATTGCTTTAGCTGCCGAGGTTAGGAAACATCCCCCAGATCGAGCTTAAGTTTTGAAGTTGTACTACAAAAGTCATAGCCATCCATCTGGTTGACCTTGCGAAGGACCCATCGAAACAGTCACCATAGACCATAGCCCTTTGGAAGCTTTGGAAAACAGAAAAATCTGCCAGAAAAAATGCCAACAAAACCGCCATGTGCCGAGCATTTTTCAGAGCTGCTACCCTACTGCCGAGGTCATCGCTAGAACGAAACAAAATATGGCAATCCAGTTGAATACCCCAGTTGTTTTTCTCACGAATCAACTAACCAAGGTGTTCCAAGATGTCCCAAGATTACTTTCACTGCGGGTCATCCGAACGAATCATCTTGGGTCAGAGGAAGTATCTTGCCGAGCCAACCGTGACGGCACTTCCCCGCCATCAATGCTGCGGAGTCTGAGCTGTGCGCTAAACAATTCGTAGCTCTCGTAGCTAACTCCTTTTGTAGCTCCCCTGGAAAAAACCATTAGATAGTGGTGTTTACTATTAGTGGTATACTGTCTACGATTAGTCTTATTGATTTTTGCGAACCAACTATATAAAATATCACATGATATGCCCTAGGATAAACCGTTTAGTAGATGCGGAAAACCGCCATTTGTGGTTTCCCATCAGAAAATCATCTACAAATGGTTGATGAATTCAACATCGAACTGTTAGTTTATTTAATGGTAAAAACCCACAGTTTCCTGTAGATGTTCCCAAAAAACCAATAGAAATAGGACAGAATCGAGTTCCGCAGCATTGCACAACGCTCACTTCTTGCGTTTCTTGCTCTTCTCCTGTGCAGAAATTTTAACGCTCCAGGCATCCCAACGATTCTACGGCAATGGGGGGAACGACGTTGGCGAAACAAAGAGGCAAAAGTATCCAATTTCAACCAAAAAAATATGGCCATCCTCTGGTTTCTAGATAAATCATATATAAATCATCTATCATCTATAAATGGGTCATTTTCCACAGTCATGTGAAAAATTACCAAAGGGTATCAACCGTGCCGAATGGAAAAGACGGGTTGCAACCGACTGGTGATTGGTCAAAGGCCCACATTGCTTGCTCGAGGAGTTTTTCCTCGGATCGTCCTTTCCTCACCGGACTCAATGATTTCCCAGTGATCGGACCCAAATGATGGATTTTCCACACATGAATTTGCTGCAGGGGATGTGCATATATATATATATATCATATACTATATATATATATATTATATATATATGTGTGTGTGTAATGTATATGATCCCTTTATCTTTGAGGATCATTCAAGTGATGGTCCAAGGATTCCGGCTCTTCTATTGGGTATCCCCAACACTGGATGGTTGATACCCGAAGCCGACAAGCAGCCAAGCCGGACTCATCTTAGTTTGACTACAACCAATTTGGGGGGTTCCTAAAATGGGGGTACCCCCAAAATTGTTTTTTTTCCGCCTTTGACTTTAGTGCTGTGTGACAGCGGTAGAGACAACCAGCTACGCGTGAAATCCCCACCAAGTACCCCCAAAATGGATGGTTTATAAGGGAAAATCCAATCTATAAATGGATGATTTGGGGGTACCCCCATGGATTAGAAACCTCCATTTGTTGGCAGGCGAATAGCCACCAGCTATCCGTGACTTTGCATTTTTCCACCATTTACCTCCAATTTGTTTGCACCATTTTAGTGTTGTGGGGGCCTTTTTCTTCTTCTTTTTGCTCTTCTCCTTCTTGTCCTTCTTTTTGGACTTCTTCCTGCCAGAAAAAACGAAAAAGAACACGGAGGAAGTGTTTTGTCTTTGGCCCAAGGTCCATTGGCACCATACATGCATCTATGTATACATACATACATTTTATATACATATATATATATATACACAGATCATACACAATATATATATATACACACACAAACATGTTTGTCCATTCTAGGGCGCTCTCTTGAAGACCAGTATGGAAACCATACACATATGGTTTTCTTGGATCATGAATTTCCCGCGCCATTGCCAAGGGCTGGCCCAAAACGGGTGCCCCTGCTTCTTCTTCTTCTTGGCAGAGCTTGACCTGTGAGAAACAAAAAAGGGCAATGCTTTTTTCCAAACCACCCTTTCTAATGTGTTTTTTTTGAAAAATTGGAGGTGTCATCCTTTCCACTTCCAACAAAAAATTTCCGTGTCTGAATGTCCAGCCCCAGGATGGGACCCCTGGGACCCCGGGCGACGACTCTTCCTGGGGATTTTTTGAAGGGCACATGGGAAATATGATATGGAAAATCGTCATGTTAAAATAACTTGGGATTTGTTTATTGGGAAGTTATAATGGATATAGTCATTATACTGTTATAGAAGTTTTTTGGTCAAATGTTTATTAAATCATGGGAAATATGTTGGGATAGCCTCTGGTAAACGTTCACAGTTCGCGAACAGGAAAAATCAGAAAATGTTTAATAGGCAAATCCACTACCAATGGGCCATGTTCCTTAGCTATGTTAAATTGCCAGAGGATATACCATGGACAAATTATAGAAATATTGTGGAAACATGGTGGAAATATCATGAAAACCGTGTTTTTAAGATCTGTGGAATATGGTGGTTTCCTGAAATGGGGGTACCCTCTGTAGCTGGATGGTTTATTTCATGGAAAACCCAATCTATAAATGGATGCCAGGAGGTATCCACCAAAGTCAATTTTCCATGGAAATATTGCTCCAGGATGATGGGATCCATCACCTATGGCGGTTTTTCTGGTCATCCATGGTCATCCATCCAACCATATGGTTCATGAGTAAAGCTATTCCTACCCCTCTGAAAAATATGAGTCAATGGGTTTCGGATGACATCCCATATATGAAATGGAAAATAAAATTCATGTTCCAAACCACCAAGCAGTATTAATGTTGGATGAATAACCAATGATCCAATGATCCAAGACTAGGTTTATGGCGGTTTACAAGTCATCACCTAAAAGAGACTTCTCATGAGAAGAACGTGCTCCGTGAGCTCTGGAAGTGGAAATGAGAACGTCCCAACTTTGGATGAGACGTGCCACAACCACAACATGCGGAATCAGTTGGGACTGTGAACAGGTGGTATATTCGTGCCGCGAGAAAGCTACATGGCTATGTCTACCATTCCCTCCCTTCTTGGAATATTCGTAAGGTTTCCTGTGAAACCATCATTGATAAACCGTGCTTAACAAAAATTGGCTACCCTCTGGTAAACTAACATAACTATGGAAAATCACCATTTTCAATGGGTAAATCCATTATAAATGGTCAATTTCAATAGCTATGTTAAATTACCAGAGGCTACTCCCCAAACAGTGAAAAACAGCGGCCATCCCTTGTCATCAGCCGTTTTGGCAACGGCTTCGATACTTCCGGTGAGGTAAAGCCATGAACCATTCCCAATGGGCTTACCCTCTGGTAAACATACAAAAAGCTATTGAAGATGGCCCAGTCGAAATAGTTGATTTCCCAGCTAGAAAATGCTGGATCTTTCCATCGTTTTTTGTTAACAGTTTACCAGATGGTAATGATTTGGTATACCCCAAGGAAAAACGATGGGGGCTTTGTGATCCACCAGGTCCATTTCACGGCCATGTCACTGGTGTTGATCACTGGATGAGTTTATACCACTCTTATCCTGAAATTGCTTGCGGAAAAAAATCACATCGAAAACTAAGATCATCCCATCACAATCCCTTTAAATATTATATTATATCATATCATATCATGTCATCTCATATCATATCATATCATATCATATCATATTATATTATATTATATTATATTATATTATATATATATCGTAAAAGTGATGATGGGATTATCTAAATCCCTATTATACTATGATTATACTATGATTGCTAGATCTTCCCATCACAATCCCCCGCCTCGGAATCCGAATCATCACTGTCACTATCATCGCTGTCCTTGGCTGAAAAGGTCTGGATTTCACCCAACGAAAAATGTGAAATTCTACAAACATCCATAAAAATAACCAGTGAAGATGTATGGGAAAACTATGGATAATCTATGGAATATCTATTGATCATCTATGGATAACCTATGGATAATGGGGGTGATTTGATTCTTTCGAATTTCACCAGATTGGAGCATCAGAGAGGCCAATACAGTCCCTCCCAGCATCTCTGCTTCTCTTGACAATTGTTTCAGGAAATGTCCTCACCTTTATCTGGTTGGTGGTTTCAACCCCTCTGAAAAATATTAGTCAGTTGGGATGATTATTCCCTATATATGGAAAAATAAAAAATGTTCCAAACCACCAACCAGTTATGCTTCGTAATATATGGGTTAAACTGAAAGACCAAAAAAATGATTCCATCGACCACACAAATCTAGGTGCACTGAGGGATGCAACCCGCAAATCGACCAGTTGAGTAGCCGCTCAGACTTATTTTCTCAAAAACAGGTGTTTGATATCTATATGTACACGCAGATACACAATAATATGTATGTATGCATGTATGTATGTATGTATGTATGTATGTATGTATGTATATATATATATACATATATATATACATATATATATATATACATACATATATGTATATATGTACATGTAAGTATAAGTTCATTTGTGCCAAAAAAAATAACGATTGCCGTCGACTGAGCCACCCCACCGAGCTGGGAACATCTTCACCTGGGACCCCTTGTCCCTCCCATGGCCCGTGCAGCTAATTGATACATTTGGATCTGAAAGTCTACTCCCCCAGCTTGCCTGTTTGTGATTTTGATGGTCAAACCTGCTTGAGTTTTCTCCAAGGCGCACTTCGTGTTCAGCCACCCATCTACCGATTTAAAGTCACCCTGAATCGTTCCATCCTCATCCATTGCTAAGTCAATTTGCGGAAAACATTGCAGGTTTTTTTTTTTGACCGGGCAGACCACTCATGCCTAGTTCCAGATCCTGAAGCAAGTTGACAGTGGCCAGTTTTGACTGGTTCCGTACATCCTCTTCATGGACAGATGATCCCCTTTAAGGCTGGTCAAATCCCCACTTCACTTGTTGTAAAAATGTCGGAAGTTGCTAGTTGAATCCCCACTTCGGTTCGTTTTGGACGTATTTCTGTCGGAAATCTGGCCCAAATTTCGTGAATGTTTTGCTGAGTTCCGCACTGCCTGGGTCCTCCTCATCATCCTCCTCGTCTTCCACAAACTGATCAAGTTTTTTCTCCTCCTTGGAATGCACGGTGAGCCAAGCTATAGGGATGAAATTATCAAAAATGGCCGAGTTCAGCAAATAAAAAAATGGTTGAACCGTTGAACCCAAAGCGCCCAACGTTGCAGCCACCAAGAACAAAGGCGCCATCCCAGACGCTATGAAGGATTTTACCATAGTTTAACCACATTGGTTGCAACCATCGATTTTTTTTACCAATTGTTTAACCACATTGGTTGCAAACATCGATTTTCCTTACCAATTGTTTAGCCACATTGGTTGCAAACATCGATTTTCCTTACCAATAGTTTAACCACATTGGCTGCAACCATCGATTTTCTTCAGTTTCGGAACTCCCACCGACCAAGTACTGCAGCGGAGTTCAACTTGTGGCATCGTAGTTTTAAAAAAAAAATATGTGGTTTGAAAAACCGATTGTAAAGGGGTTTGTCTGATAAGGGGGTGGCCCGAAGATATCGAAGATGGCAATGAAATTAGAATGTATACATATATGTATATATAACATGTCGTGCAATCATGGGCCATATATACCTATATATTTGTTTACCCACCTATAATTGTATTTATTGATTTGCCACGCGTTTGTTTATTCATTTTTCATTATTGATTTATTTATTTAGTTATCTATTTATTTGTTTATTTATCTATTTAGTTACTTACATCTGTGCATAGATACATATAGATTTTTATCCTATATATATATATGCATGCATGTCGACATATATGTATATAATATATCACAGACACTTGGCACCACATGCTCGGCGGCAGCAGAGCAGCATGGCAGAGTCAGGTGAGGCCGACAAGTGCGGCAGTCAAGCAATCTGTGCATAGCACAAATCAACGGTAGATGTGGGAGTTCGCCTGCAGCCACCTTCGAAAGCATGCATACCCCAAGGGCTGTACGGAGGCACTAATACATTGGCCAAAGCTTTCGACCAGTGGCGAGGCCGACACCCAGGTTTGCCATGCAGTTGCTGGCAGGGGGCTTACCTTGGCCACCAATCATATTGATTTCGTAACGGGACAAACAAACAAAGAAACAAACAAACAAACAATCAGTTAAATTTGCTAGACAAGCTCTAGAAAAACAAGTGTTGGCTGAGTTTGCTGAATCTTTTTTGTTTAAGCGGGTGGCCGTTGTGCAAGGCAAGCGCAAGGCTCAGCAAGCAAGCTTGACCCTGATGCGGCAAGGAATGGTATGTTTCCAAAAGCGGGACGCATAAAAATCCCAGCAATCACCCCATCCAGTTGATTCCCAACCCTTCTTGCAACAAGAAATCGTCAAACTTTTTCTATCCGATCAATCAACCAAGCTGCTACATCGCAACAAGATTTCGGAGTTGCGGAGAGACAAGGCAATGCTCGACGCAGCACAAACCACTATTTTCTTACAGGCTTCTCTTTTGAAAGGCTTAGAAGCAAGCAATTTGACCAGCCCCTCCGGATCTGCTGAACTTGTACGAATGTGTGTACATAAAATATCTATCTGTCTGTCTGTCTGTCTATCTATCTGTCTATCTGTCTATCTGTCTATCTGTCTATCTGTCTGTCTACCTAGCTATCTGTGTATCTGTCTGTCTGTCTGTCTGTCTGTCTGTCTACCTTTCTACGGTGCTTGGCTCTCCGGCACCCTTCCGGGCACAACCGGTCTGGAGAGGGCATAGAAAAAAAGAGTTATCCTACAGGTGCCGTCCCTGGATGCGGAAAAATGTGCGACGGTTAGTCATTAGTCACACAACTCCGGGCCCGTTGTCTTCTGACCCGGCTAACCCCGCGAATCAAGTCTTCGACTTGTCCGCCGAGAACTGCCTGTAGAAGTTTGTCGCGGCCTCCCATGCAATGTGCCAGTAAAGAGACGATGCTCCTGTCCACTTTGCGCGTTGGCCTGGAAGATGGCCCTTCATTCTCTGCCAACCTCCTCGCCTGCCTGTCTGGACAGGCGAAGGGGTAAGTCAGGCAGATAAACCTTGCAGAGATGCTCTGCATTGCTTTCGGCCCAGCTGGAAAGGATATCAAGGCCCTCGCCTTGCCGGTTCACCTCGTAGCCGGTTTGTAGTTCATCTGCCACAAGGAGCGATAAGCGCTGGGACATCTTCCTCAACCAGGTTGGCCCAAACGGTGCTGGTCACCTTAGTTGTGCCATCCCAGCTGCAGCTCACAAGACTTTCAGGGAGCAGCTTCCAATGAGCATCCCCGAAAAACTTTCATACAAGCACCAATGCAGATGACCTTCAAAATCTGATTGCAAGGACCTCTTGATGAGGAATCTAGCAGAATCTCCACAAGATTTTCTTACAAAGACCTGTAACGATCATGTAAGGACACCTAAAGGATTGCGGCAGGACCTCTTCAAGAGCTTCGCGCAAGGACCTATACAAGGTCATGAAAAGGCCTCTGACAGCATTTCACTAGGGTCTCCACAAGAACTTCTCACAAGGATTTGTAAAGACCTTAACCAAGATCTTCATGTCAGGATCTTTAACAAAAGCTCACAAGATCGTCATACAAGCACCTGCTGCTACTGGAGCGGGCCTTGCAAGATCGTGATACAAGAGCCTCCCACAAGAGCTTTCATACAAGCACCTGTAAGACATGGCGGCCGCAAGACCTTTTGGCAACGCTTCCTTAGAGAGGATCTCACCAGGATCTCCACAAGATCTTCTGTTAAGGACCTGTTAGCGACGATCCCACCAGGACCTCCACAAGATCTTCTGTTAAGGACTTGTACCAGACCATGCAGAGCATCAGCAAGGTCTTAATGCAAGGCCTCTTTGGAAGGAATTTAAACAGGATTTGCAGAAAGATCTTTTCAGAAGGACCTGCACAAGTCATGCAAGGACACACTGAGGATTTTAGGCCAAGGTCTTCGCACAAGGGCCTGTACAAGATCATGCAAGGCAGTATGCCGCTCAGTTCGTGTAGGCTAGTCAAAACGTCACCGTCTTCCATTGCGGCTGTTGATCTCAAGCACCACTTCTGCCCAAGGCCCCTTGAAGGTCATGAGAAGCCAACACCAGGGCCAGAAGACCATCAACATTGCCATTGTTTAGGTGCATCACGCAACCACATCTACAGGGTCCAAGACATCTTGAGGATGGCCGAAGTGAGACCACAGAGGATGCAAAAGAAGTAGCAAAGGATCCACTCCCCAAAGTGGGTGCACAGTGCAAGCAGCAACCAAAATCATAAAGTTGATGAAGAAAAAATGATGACAGAAACGAAGACTTAACTCAGCCCAAATTAGGATGATAAATTTAATCACGGTAAAATGAAAAAATACATAGTTTTGCCCCTCCAAATCTGTGGCCGAAAGAATCTTATAACCAGTGTGGTGGCGTGTAAAGGTTCAGCCAGGTTTAGTTGGAAACATCCGCACCACTGGAAGGACTCGACCCACATTCATATATAGTTGTATATCATATACATACATACATACATACATTACATTACATTACATTACATTACATACCATACCATACCATACCATACATACATACATGCATACATACATACATACATACATACACACACATACATACATACATACATACATACATACATACATACATACATACATACATACATACATACATACATACATACATACATACATACATACATACATTACATACATACATACATACCTACATTACATTACATTACATTACATCACATCACATTACATTACATACATTACATACATTACATACATTACATACATTACATACATTACATACATACATACATACATACATTACATTACATTACATTACATTACATTACACAACACTACATTGCATTACATTACATTAATACATACATTACATTACATTACATTGCAATGCATTACATCGCATTACATTACATTACATACATAGATACATACATACATACATGCATGCATACATACATACATACATTACATACATACTTAACATACATACATACATACATACGTACGTACATACATACATACATACATGCATACATACATACCATATCATTTCATATCATAACATAACATACATACATACATACATACATACATTACATACATACATACATATATATATAGTATGTTTTATATATATATATCATAGTTTACATATTATTTACATTATATAAAATACATTCTATAAGTTGAGTATATATATATATGTATTTAAATTTATATATATATATGTATGTATGTATGTATGTATATGTACATTCCATGCTCAAACCACCTTATTTTGTCATCCTCTCAGGCCCTCTTTCCTCTCGCCGGCAGAACATCCGCACCTTCCGCAAGGTGAACATGTTCCGACACTGGAAAAAAAGGTGCCCCACTGAGCCGCACCTGCAAGGGTTTGGTCCCCAACTCACCAACAAAAATTCACGGTGAAAATAGGGGGAAATGTTGGCAAAATGGGGATTGGTTGGGAAAATTTGGGAAATATTGGAATAATCGTAGATTGACTGGGAAATGTGTGGATTTTTTTGGAGCTTTTGCCGGAATTTAGGGGAAATACAATGATCTTCTTGGCTAGAAGACTGTGGGTATGCCAGCAGGAAAAATTGGTGACTTCACCATGACAAGTTTAGATTTAATGGGATTTACCTGAGCTGAGACCTTGAAGCTAACACCGCTAGAAGAAAATTAGTCTAAATGGTCAAATAGCTCTAATTTGATCCATGGTTTAACTATCATGTGGTTGGGAAACTACCCCAAACCTCCAACTGGCTCCCCACCTCTTGCAGGCTCCAGGAGCTATGGTGCTGGAGTGTCCTATGGTCGAACACATTCGGATGGGATACCTTTGGATGGTTTCAATGTTGATGGGAAAAAAACAAAATTCAAGACGTCACCAAAAACGAGCGGTTGTTGTTGATGATTGTCCAGTTGCGTTTCTTGCTTTAAAGAGCCCTATGAAACTTTTCGCTGCAAACCCTACGTTTGACCGTGCCGGAAGTCAACTGAACGCGACATGGTCACGATCGTCATCATGAACATCAGCATCAGCACCAGCATCACCATCATCGTCATCATCATCATCATCATCATCGTCATCATCATACCATCATTATCATGGTGACCCTCATGAACCCCGGGGGATTTGATCGTTCATGAAGATAAATGGAAGCTAATAAACCATTCAACATATTTGTTCAGAGTGGACGGGGGGGTTGATCCTCTATGAATGAAGATAAGTGGAAGTTAATGAACCATTCAACATATTTGTTCAGACGGTATGTCTCTTCGGAAAGCCACAAATGATGAGCTGATGGACAAAGCCGCAAGGCTAATGCCCCATGGTGACTTCCCATCCTGCCAGGAGAGTTTTAGCTCCCCATCTGGTTGAAGTCATCCATCTTTTATTGGTTCTATCCTCATGTATATATCATGTGTGTATATATATATGCGTGTGTGTGTGTAGGATCCATAATCCCCACCATCCCATCCCCACCTGTGAGCTGTGCCAGGCGGAACAGGCCCTTGGCTGAACTGTTGATCTCGCCGCTGCTGCCCAGGACCTGGCGCCCAGATTGATTTAGCGTATATGATAATATATAAACATGATATATAAATATTGAGGAATATATAATAATCCGCCAACCCCTGGCTAGCCTTGGCCTAGCAGGGCGGCGCTAGCTATCAGCGCAGGTGTGCAACATCTCCACGCATTCTGCTAATCCATCCGGTGCAAGTCTTTTCAGTCTTTTCTATCGATTCGAAGCAACCCATGAAAATGCATTGTCTGTTCCAACCAATAACTTTCAATGAAGATCAACACAATTGTTCATTCAATCGGCAGCGCTGCCAGCTTCACGCATTACAGCAGCCGCCGGTTCGACTTTATCCAGCAGTTCCAGCTGGTCGGCCAGAATCCTCTGGACTTGTCCAAAACTCACTCCGTGCATGCGCCAGCTACTTGCACAACTGAAAACCGCATTAAGTCATGCTGCAAAGACATCTCACCAGGCCCTTTACCAACATGGCCTCCTGGAGCAGCTTTGACTGACTGTTGGACCCAACTGTCCCAAAAAAACAACCCATATCTCAGAACTTTGCCAAGAACAATGCCGGCAGCGGAGACTGCCACCAAGCGTGCGATTGGTCAGTCACGAAAACTGCACGCGCAGAAGCTCCTAGAGAAAACATGCCGCAAGATTAACTCGAAATCACCGACGAAAACATACCGATGAAAAAAAATCCGACTTGGTACAACAGCAAAAGCACCGACGCTCTCACCCCAGCCAGCCTCCCTGATGCTTCGCAAATTGTACCTTGCAAGGGGTCCGTGAGCCTCACCGCAGAGCTGCGCAGCACTCACCAGAGAATGCAAGTTGACACCACTTCCGACCTGCTAGCGCAACCCAGACGGGCTCCCACTAGCCTGCTCCATCGAGATTGTATGGACATCGGTTTTCAAACAAATGATTCTTGAATCTGCCCCCAACAGCTGCTACAACTCGCGGCTTTGCAAAGTACGACCGGACATAACCAAGTTAATTAACATTTTGAAACGGTGTGTATATCTTCCGTTGCACTCGCCCTACCAGAACACTGTCTCAAGCTCATACAATTAAGATCAAATTTTTCTCAACGCTCTTTTTTTACTTCCTGAGCTTCATTTGATATAAAGCCATGCTCTACAAGCCAAACCGTCATTGCTAAACCATTGATTTTCCTTTCCATTGAACACATTCTCCTCAAAACGACGCCGGTTTAAAACAATGTTTCCATTAGAAACTTTTGGATGAACAAACCAAAAAAAGTCAGAATGGAATTTCATGCCAACAAAAAGCCTCAAAACAAATTATATAATTACTCGTGCGCTCCTGCAAAAGCAACATAAGCATCGGAAAGCTTACGCACTGCACTGTGACCCTAAGATCTCTCATGCAAAAATCCACTACAAGACCGAGACATGCACAATGACAATCCAGTTGCCAACTAACTACAGATAAATCCCGACAGAAAAACCACCTGCAAATGAGCGTGTAGTTGCAGTGCAATATTTGGATTGGTGGTATGTAAACCCATTAGTCATCGGTTTTCAAACAAATGATTCTTGAATCTGCCCCTGGCTGCAGCCCCTGCCGCCGACCCGCCCAAAATCCTTCACTCTGGGTGTGTTTTCACGTTTTTGGGCCGCGTAACACGGATTAAAAGCAAGGTTTGGCAGTTCCATTTTAGGCACCTTTTTGGTGGATGTTTGATGCTTTTTGGTGCATGCCAAAGGCCCGTAATTTACCGTGTTTTTGTGCCTTTTTCATCCAAAAAATACTTCCTGCAATGTGCTGTGGCCGCTACAAGACGACGACAACGACAACAACGACGACGACGACGACGACAACAAAAAAAACAAAAAAAAACATAACAAAACAACAACAACAACAACAACAACAACAACAACAACAACAACAACAACCACAACCACAACCACAACCACAACCACAACAACGACAACAACAACAACCACAACAACAACAACAACCACCAACAACAACAACAACAACAACCAACAACAAACAACAACAAACAACAACAAACAACAACAAACAACAACAAACAACAACAAACAACAACAAACAACAACAAACAACAACAAACAACAACAAACAACAACAAACAACAACAAACACCAACAACAACAAACAACAACAAACAACAACAAACAACAACAAACAACAACAAACAACAACAAACAACAAACAACCACAACCAACAACCAACAACCAACAACCAACAACCAACAACCAACAACCAACAACCAACAACCAACAACCAACAACCAACAACCAACAACAACAACAACAACAAAAACAACAAAAACAACAAAAACAACAAACAACCAACAACCAACAACCAACAACCAACAACAACAACAACAACAACAACAACCAACAACAACAACGACGACGACAGCAACGACAATAACGGTCGGACGACCTGTAACCGCGCGCCAGCACGAGTCACAATCCCCATGGCACGGTGGCTGTCAGTGCCTTTTCCACACGCATGATCTTTGTTCAAATCGAACATGTGGCGTGGGTCATGGCCCAAATGGCCTGCTCGGTCCTGTCTGTACACTTGCAGCGCGTGCAAGCAAGTTTGTAGCCCGGGGGAAAAAAGTAAGAAGGAAGAAAGAAAGAAGAGGACAATCGTGGCCATGATGTCCATCTCATGTCTGGGCCTCACTGCTCCAGACTCCCTGTAATGAGATTCACATCAGAGCGCGGGTGATCACATGTCGAAACAATGTGAAATTCTGTAGGCTTTACACATGAAGCTGCTTGGTGATCTTGCTTGGGATTCATTTGTCAATTTGGACGTCATGCTGGGTATGTTCATAAGAAGACATGACCCAAACCATCTTCTGGCGGCAGCGTCACATGATGATACAATCGTTCCAAGATCCGTAGAAAAGAATAAAAAAAACAAGGGTACAAACAACTATTTAAAAAAAAACGGGATGGCGCCAGACGAAAGCACACACACACACACGAACGTTATTATGCCCCCCCAAACCCCCCCAAAAAAAAAAAAAAAAAAAAAAACCCCCCCCCCAACCCACCCCCACCCCCCCCAAAACACAAAGGTCACGGACACGATCCAAGCAGCGCGGACAACAACAGACCCAGAAGGGATTTTTTGCGTGGCGGAAAAGGACAAAAACAGCAAGAAACACAGGAAAAAGTAGGAAAAACGTGAGACGCTGCGCCGGCCGTATCAGGGGGTCCGAGGGAACAACGACGACGACGACGACCACAACAACAACAACAACAACAACAACAACAACAGAGCAAGCGGGCGGCATTCTGGGCAACAACAGCAACCCTTGGGGCATCGCCAGTGTGCGAAGCCCTACAATTATTATGAACATGACAACGTGATATGATAAGTATGAATATATGAGAATGGTGAATGTGTGATAGTTGTGATACTTATGAAAATATGATATATCATAATCATGTATATATATATATGATGTATATGCATCTATAGAAGCTATGGCTTTCTCAATGAAAATGTGATCTCCAGCGGATGGTCCAAATCTTATGGGGACTGGATATGGACGTATGGGAGCTGATAATTAAAAAAAAATCACGGGGACTTCAACAACAAGTTGACGAGTTGACCAAATAGCGACCCCCAAAAAGATGGAAAAGTCACTTATCACTATTTTATCTAGTAAACTTAAATGTTTACTGCTCTTTATGGGTTCGGTTCAGTGAATATACATGTAACCCAGCCATTTTTTGGTAGTTACTTAGGATGTTGGGTATCCAAGAACATGATCCTTAAGTAGCAACAGTCAGGATTTCGACCATTGGAAACAAGCCGAGGACTAGGAGGTTGGTTCCAACCAAGGACAAGGTGTGTATATATATATACTATATATACAAAGGTGGATATATACAGCATTGGCTGAGCGGATCCTTTGTAAATAAAAAAAATGGAGATACCAATCGACAACTGCGGAGAGCTGGAAACCGTGACCAATGTGCTGTTTGTCATCCATGGGTTTCTCAATGATGATTCCCAACACAAAAAGCCCTTCTTGCGGATCATGATCTACTGGTTGGTGGTATACCTACCCCTCTGAAAAATGATGGAGTGAAAGTGAAAGTCAGTTGGGATGATGAAATTCCCAACTTTTCATGGAAAGTCATTCAAAAATCCATGGTTCCAGTCACCACCAACGAAATGACGAAATGGAATTCTGACGAAATGACGCCTTAGACATCAGAATCAGGACCTTTCCAAGATCAGAATCAGGTGATCGCATTGTGAAACTGGCCAACGTGCTTGCCAACGTTTGCCACCAGGGCCATCCGGGAGCTGATTTCTTCATGGTAATCCCTGGAAACATTTCGCATGGCTATGGAAAATCCGTCGCGACTGGATTTCTAGCGAGAAATGATTCCACCTCTGAAAATATCCACAGGGGTTTGTTTAGTTTATCCAGGGTTTGTTCGTCAAAGTTTGTCAACCAATCCAATTCAAATTTTGATAATGATTCAAAGTTTGTTTATCCAGGGGCGAACATGTGGGTTACGCAAGCAGAAAGTGAATTGCTGGGTTACGTATGTCACTAATGCACTAGTGGGTCGGCGATATCAACTTATCCGTCACCGTCCAAGTATCAGAAGAGCAGGTTCGGATAAACTCTCAACTCTAGAGAAAGTTATGTAAAAGCATTACAAACAATCCAATTCCAACGAAATCAAGACATCTACCCTCTGGTAAACAAACATAACTATGGAAAATCACCATTTTCTAGCTGGGTAAATCAACTATTTCTCTGGCCATGTTCAAGTTCGCAAACTGTTGACATAACCAGAGGCTAGTCTGTTTGGCAAAAAAGTGTGCCGTCTGAAGATTTCAGCCCTGCCTCCCCTTCGTTTTCACCTTCTCCCGCATAAGGATCATAGCGAACCGCCTGGGGCGCCACAGATGCCACGGATCTGCGAACCCTAGACCCTGGGCTGCTTGATGTGAAACTTATAGAAATCTCATGTGATGATGCCTAGACATACATATATATATATATAATGTATATATATATATAATGTATATATATATATATATATGTGGTTGATATAGATATTTTCCTGTACATGTATAGATCTATATATCATCTAATAGATCTACACCGAATATGTCCGATTTCTTCAGATTCTGTGCCGATTTCTCTGGCGCCTTTTTCCAGACCTCGGTCGTCTCCAGCGATCCCGATGTGCTCAAGCCTCGGTGGTCGAAGGGTGACTTTCACGGGTGAGGAAAACATTGATGTTATATGATGTTATATGATGTTATATGATGTTATATGATGTTATATGATGTTATATGATGTTATATGATGTTATATGATGTTATATGATGTTATATGATGTTATATGATGTTATATGATGTTATATGATGTTATATGATGTTATATTAGTTTATATTAGTTTATATGATGTTATATGATGTTATATGATGTTATATGATGTTATATGATGTTATATGATGTTATATTAGTTTATATGATGTTATATGATGTTATATGATGTTATATGATGTTATATTAGTTTATATGCTGTTATATGATGTTATATGATGTTATATGATGTTATATGATGTTATATGATGTTATATGATGTTATATGGATGTACAATGATGTACATGTATTGTTGAATCAGAATTGATTTGTCATAAGTTGGTTGAACTAACTAGTTTAACTGGGGGTTACAATGGATATATCGGATATATCTACGAATGGATGGGGTTTAATGGTGTAATTGGATGCAATTGGAATATTTGGGGCTAAAATCAACCATTTTACGGTGATATTTACGAGGAACAATGTAAAGTTCAAATCCTGCATTTTTGTTAGCCGGCCGTTGCTGTCAATGGAATCAACTTGCCTTTTGCTGGTGAAAGTAGTCCACCGTCTTCGTTGCTTGTACCCCCACATCTGTCATGTCCACTACAGTTCGGCCGGTCCCCAAGTTCCAAACGGTTCTCACGGCCAGCAATCGGCATGGCGGCGAGCGCGGTGAGCAGAGCCCTTTCGCGTTTTTTGTTGTGCTGTTCGGCTTTTCAGCTTTTGTATGCCTTTGTGCTGTTGGGTTGATGGAAACCCTAGAGAAACATGTGATCCCCAAATCCGCAAATGAGTTTTGCATCCAATTTTCACCGTTTCGCCTTGGCTCCCATCAAGTCCCAACGTCCTTTTCGACAACTCCCACCGCTTTGGATCTGGAAATTGCCTGTGGGTCTTGTCAAAACAATGATTGGCTGTTGCGTGTATAATCAATTATTTATGATCATCTATCTCCATGCCGGATGCAGCTGCAGTTTGACCAAGCGAGTGGGGACCCAGCAGCCCCAGTCACTTTTTTTTAAGCGTCCAAAAAGTACACAACTAAACTCTTAGAAGCAACATTGTCCTTTTATGTCCTTTTGGGAAAAATGGAGGGGTCGCTTTGGTGATGTCACTTACCGGTTGTTTCATGGGGTGACCCCTCTATCAACCAGTCCCAGGGAACCCATGAGATTCCATGAGCCAATAGGAGGGCTCTGCAACATTGCTCACGTGACACAGCTATGTCCAATACCAAATCAATTACGGCTTGGCATTGTCCCCAAAAACTCATGATCGCCATCTAAAAATATTGCTGTTGAACCTGTTGAACATGAACATATCTGAGATTGCCAATCATTGCCGACTCACTTCGATTGTTCAAATTCCATATTTACTGGTGAAATTCAAAGTCCCTGCTGAACATTCGGGTACTCTGCGGACAAAAAAGGCTGGCTGCTAGGTGCACCGATGGCTTGTTCACAAGCCAACGGCCCCTCTCCCCAAAAAAAAATCGGGGGTTAACCAAGTTAACCCCCCAAAAAAAGACACATGTGATTCTGTTAGAGAAAAAACTTAGCGTATCTGTTGGTTTTTCCAAATGTTTGGTTGGATTCACCCAAAAAAATGCCATAGATTTCTTCGAGTCATTCGATGCCTGTGACCGGAGACTCGGGATCCGGCTCGTGACACGGGGACCAACAACCTGGCAGATTCAGATGGTAGATGTGATTGTCTGAAAATAGAAAACCCACAAAATCCTATGGTTTAATATGGTTAAAACAACAATAAACCGGATTTTTTGGTACAGAACTATGTAAAATTGATGTTCTTTAAATGTAAATCTATCAATGGGCCACTTTCCCCATGTCACATTGCTGGAGGGTGGGCCAAATCCCAACAATTCAGGAGTGTCAAAATGTTGGGTTTGCCACTTCTGAAATTGACCCATCTATTGGGGACCCGGGCAACGTCATTTCAAATCCAGTTTTGACACCTCTTCTGTGTGACTGGCAGGTGATAAACAATGGCACTTTACGATAGTCGTCAACGGATGTCAGTCAGGGTCGTTGTCTAAAACTGTCATGTGGTAAACCCGAGAATATTCACCATCCCCAATATCACCAAAAAATGGATGGCGAAAATCAAACACAGCAATATACCCTCTGGTAATTTAGCGTAGCTATTGAAAATGGCCATTAATAGTGGATTTTCCCATTAAAAATGGTGATTTTCCATAGCAAACTGTTGGTTTACCAGAGGGTAAACGAACGGAAACACTCAGGTGGCAAGATCCTGACTTTTCATTTTGTTTGCGGAAAGAACAGTTTTTTCATCTGGAAAAGAGTGTGTGTGTGTGTGAGAGTGCGAGAGTGAGGGTGAGTGTAGACGGGTTTCCAGAGGTTTCAAGAAACATGTATATATATATATATATGTTATATAGTAAGTTCTATAACAGTATAATGACTATATTCATTCTAATGACTATAACAGTACCCTCTGGTAAACTAACATAACTATGGAAATTGGCCCATTTAGTTTGTTGATCTACCTATTAATAGCATGGTGATGTTCCAGTTCGCGAACTGTGTTAGTTCACCAGAGGCTATCCCAACATATTTCCCATGATTTCATAAACATTTGACCAAAAAACTTCTATAACAGTATAATGCCCATATCCATTATAACTTCCCAATAAACAAATCCCAAGTTATTTTAACATGACGATTTTCCATAGATATTTCCCATGATTTTCCATAAAATCCCCATAACAGTATCTATTGGTGCTACAAGTGCTACCCTCTGGTAAACTAACATAACTATGGAAAATCACCATTTTGAATGGGAAAATCCACTATAACTGGCCATTTTCAATAGCTATGTTAGTTTACCAGAGGGTACATTGGTGCTATGATTTCATGGTGAATATCCATGGCGAACTCGCCAGCCGCACCGGCGAAGGCTTCGCCGATGTCACCTATGGCGACAAGGTCGGGACAAGTTCGGTCCCGAACTGGAAAAATGGTGATGGGTTCTGTTGTATAACTTGAATCTTTTATGTTATATAACTGTCATATAACTTTATATTAAATGTTTTTTCATAGATATGTAGAATTTTGTAGAATTATATGTAGATTGATGTACATATTATATAAGAGAGAGAGAGAGCGCGTGTCAGTCAGCTAGTGCGGGGGTTAGCTGGTTAATGCATTTGTTAATTGTATATAGTCATAAGTCAATCAAACTGACCAATAACGTTCATCAGCCGGGTAAAATCATCGAGGTAAATTGAAATTGATCAATCTGTGAATGGTACAGTTTTACTAAAAACCATCAATCAAACACCAAGCCAAAAAAAAACAAGCCATAAAATCATGAACTGTGGGTAAAGTTTTAAAATAAAGTCAGCCATTCCAATACCCATCAATCTTGCCCGAACAAAACCAGCTACATGTTTAATCTAAAGCCTGCGTTTTTTGTGCATGAATTCTCTGTGTAAATCCTCTTGATTCTCGAGTTTCTGTTTGTACTTTTGAAATCATCCAAGATTGAACATATCATTGGATTGGTTCAAGGGAAAATCGAAACCGGAAACCATGGTTTTTACCATCAAATATAGGGCTTTCCGGTTAAAATTTTCCCATCATCCAATTCTATGGAACATGGAACATGGACCAATAAATTTGCTGGAGAATATGGTCTCAAAGTAGGACCAAAGTTTGGTCAAAGATGCTTTGGAGACAATGGGATTAAATGCTATCAGCAACAACGACACCAAACCCAACATCCAAAGTTGGGTTTATTCGGGTGAAGCCAAGTGGTCTTGGTCCTCTACCCAAGGTCCCCAAAAATGAAACCAAAGAGTATGTTACCCCATATCATCCATATTCAATAACTGTTAACTGGTATTCCAAAATATTAAGCAAGTGTGAAAATATTCGCATACCAGAAATAAAAAACCATATATAATTTTACTGATTAGAATACCGTAAAAGACTAACATGTCTATCATAACCATTGAGTCAATATCATAACCATTAAATTTATCTTAATCATAATCTGTGCACTATATATATATGCATACATACATCAAATACCTGATATACCAAGCCAATTAACTATAGATATAGTCATCCCCTTCAAGATACCTGATATACAAAGATCTCAAGATTCACCAACTGGCTATGGACCATGGGGTTTGTCTGAAAATAAGGTACCCCCCAAACCCAATGGACCCAATGCTGAAAATCATCAGTTTCCCTTTTTGGGCTAACCGGCTAACCTCATTTTCAGACACATTTCTCATTCAAATCTCCGTGAAAAATCACAGAAGTATAAATGTCATTGTATAAATGTCATGTAATTCCCATAAAAGTCAAGTAATTTTTTTAGTATACATAACCTCATTTTCAGAAACAATTCCCATAAAAAAAAAAAAAACGTGGGAAAAATCGAGGAACCTTCGGCGAGGCAGCGACAGTTGGCACCGTTGGGGCCGCTTTTGCTTTGCCTCGCCACGCTGCTGTCGACGGCCCGGTGGTTTTTTTGGGGGGCCCCCGTTGCTGATTTAATGGCTTATTGATGGAACATTTCATGGGGATGTCATGGGATATGTGTGTGTGTATATATACATGTATATATATATACATATATAAATATATACATATATATATATGTATATATATATATACATATATATATATATATACACATAACTAATGAACTAACTGACTGACTCACGAACTAACGAACTGACAAACTGGCGAATTAACGAGCTAACTAACGAACTAACTAACTAACTAACTAACTAACTGGTTAACTAACTAACTAACTAACGAACGAACTAACGAACTAACGAACTAACGAACTAACGAACTAACGAACTAACGAACTAACGAACTAATGAACTAACGAACTAACGAACTAACGAACTAACGAACTAACGAACTAACGAACTAACGAACTAACTAACTAACTAACTAATTAACTAACTAACTAACTAACTAACCAACTATCAATTTTATATCCAGATATATGGAGGCCTCCAAAGTCATGGGGAATCCCAGTCGTCACCATAGCTTCTTCCGTAAAAAAACGGACCATTTTATGGTCATCCATGGGGATTGGAGTCGCTATAACCAATTAGCTATGGTCATTTATTGCTATGACCTATTATTGAGTAGCTATTACTTTAATGAAATATAGATTGAATAGCTATGATTTCGTTGACCAATAAAATGTCGTTGACCAATGTAGTTTCTGGCCATTTATTGGAGAATGGAAAATGACCCATTTAGTTTGATGGTCTCCTTTTTAAAAAAATGACCACTTTCCAGAGCTATGATAGATTACCAGAGGGTAGCTGGAAAGATGATGGAGATATGCTTGGGGGGTATGAATTCTGGGACATGACGTAACTTTTGACCAAAAATATGATTTGGGTTTGGCCATCAAAAAATGAGCAAATGATGACAGACTTTCAGGTAGCTTATTTTTGGACAAACACAATATATGTAAAATAAATCCCTCACTCGAGTGGTGTGTGCGGGCTTTTTTGGGTGTAGATAACCAGATGTCTGGTGATCAAACATGGCAAGTCTGAAAATCACCCATTTTTTGTCATTTAGTGCGATGACTGTCGCATTGAAAGTAAATGGACATTACTGTTCCCATGACTGTT